AAGGACATAAATTAAAATATCTAATTTCCATTTATACCTAAAATAGAAGGAGAAAGATTTTTGCGCTCACTTAAACTAATAATCAAGTGGATTTCCAACAAAGCAACTTTCAGTGCATCTCTACACCATAAAATAAACATGCGTGCTAAATTTCAAGTCTAAATCTAACAGAGCAAAAACGGAATTTTTATCATCAATACCTTGTTGAGAGCATTTTTAGAGGAATTCCAATTCAACAAAAGACGTATGCAAGCCAAAAATTATTATTGTGGTCTTAACAGTACCAAAGCGGGAATTTTGTCTATCAATACGCCCCAATAACTCTCTCCGCTTCCACCAGAAGTTGATTTCCGTAAAATCCATTCTTAATGGAACTCTATTCAACTAAAGAAACGTGCTCAACAAATTTCAAGTAAATGGGTTAAATTCAAAAACAAGGGTTTTTCTATAACACGTCTTAATCCCTCACAACCCCACTGCTTTGGGGGCCCGTTTCGCAAAACTCTTTGTAAAAGTAACTCTATTCCATGAACGGAACATACCTTCTAATTTTTCAAGCAGGTGGGTCTATTTGTTGAAAAGCGGCAATATTTATCTATTACGCCCCTTATTCCCCCTCAGTGAACTTTGGGGATTAATTTCCACCAAACTATTTTGTAACAGATCTCTACACCATGAAAAGAATCCGCTTAAAAATTTTAAGACTGTACGTCTAATACTTTAAAAATGGAAATAAATATCTATAACGCCCCTTAAGCCCCCGCAACGCCACTTAGGAAGCGATTTTTTCAAAACCCATCTTAAAGTAGATCTCTACTCAATGAATGAAATCTGCTTACTCGATTTCATAATTTTACGTCTTATAGTTTAAAAAAGGAGTTAATTGCCTATAACGCCCCTTAATTCTCCACAACACCACTTAGGGGTCAATTTTCACGAAACCAATTTTGTAGCGGATCTGTACTCTATGAAAGGAATCCGCTTACCAAATTTCAAGACTGTACGTCTAATAGTTTAAAAATGGAAATAATTATGCATAACGCCCTTTAAGTGCCCTCAACGCCCCTTGGAGGTCGATTTCCTTAAAAATCATTAGGTAGGGAATCTCTACTTTATAAAAGAAATCTGTGTACCAAGTTTCAAGACTGTAAATCTAATAGTTTAATAATAGAAATAATTATCTATAACGCCCATTAAACCCCCGTAACTCCCTTTGGGAATCGATCTTTGCAAATTCCGTTCTTAGCTGATGTCTACTCCATGAAGGGAACTTACCTAACAAATTTCATATCTGTAGTTTCAATAGTTCCGGAGATATCATGATTAGTCAGTCAGTGAGTCGGTGAGTGATTCGCTTTTCTCCTTTATATACATATATATACTTGCCGTTAACCACCCGCACCACTGGGTATTTCCCGATGTTATATGTATGTAAACTGTTAACATATATATTAATTATTGATATCTAGCATTAAGAATTCGATTGTATTGAAAAATATATTTATAGCTGTTACACTCTCGCCTCTTGATATAAAAAAGAACATAAATTATAATATCTAATTTCTATTTATATCTAAAATAGAAGGAGAAAGATTTTTTTCGCTCACTTAACCTAATAATCAAGTAGATTTCCACCAAAGCAACTTTCAGTGGATCTCTACTCCATAAAATAAACATGCGTGCTAAATTTCTAGTCTAAATCTAACAGAGCAAAAACGGAATTTTTATCATCAATACCTCGTTTAGAGCACTCTTAGCGGATTCCAATTCAACAAAAGAAGCATGCAAACCAAATTTTATTATTAGAGTCTTAGCAGCTCAAAAACGGGAATTTTGTCTATCAATACGCCCCAATAACTCTCCCCGCTTCCCCCTGGAGTTGATTTCCGTAAAATCCATTCTTAGTGGAACTCTATTCAACAAAATAAAAGTGCTCAACAAATGTCAAGTAAATGAGTTAAATTCAAAAACAGGAATTTTTCTACAACACGCCTTAATCCCTCGCAACCCCACTCCTTTGGGGGTCTGTTATCGCAAAAATCTTTGTAAAAGGAACTTTATTCCATGATCGGAACATACCTTCTAATTTTCAAGCAGGTGTGTCTATTAGATGATAAACGGAAATATTTATCTATTACGCCCCTTAATCTCCCTCAGTGACACTTGGGGATCAATTTCCCCCAAAACTATTTTGTATCAGATCTCTACACCATGAAAGGAATTCGCTTATACCAAATTTTAAGACTGTACGTCTAATAGTTTAAAAATGGAAATAATTATCTATAACGCCCTTAAGCCACCGCAACGCCACTTAGGAAACGATTTTCACAAAACCCATCTTATAGCGGATCTCTACTTAATGAATGGAATCAGCTCACTAAATTTCGAGATTTTACGTCTAATTGTTTAAATAAGGAGTTAATTGCCTATAACGCCTTCATACTCTACAACGCCTCTTGGGAGTCTATTTTGACAAAACCCATTTTGCAGCGGATCTGTACTCTATGAAAGGAATCCACTTACCAAATTTCAAAAATGTACGTCTAATAGTTTAAAAATGGAAATAATTATGTATAACACCCTTTAACCCCCGCAACGCCACTTGGGAGTCGATTTTCCCAAAACCCATTCTGTAGGGGATCTGGACTCTATGAAAGGAATCCGTTAACCAAATTTTAAGACTGTACGTCTAATAGGTTAAAAATGGTAATAATTATGTTTAACGCCCCTTAGGCGCCTTCAACGCCCCTTGGAGGTCGATTTTCGTAAAAATAATTATGTAGGGAATCTCTACTTTATGAAAGAAATCTGTGTACCAAGTTTCACGACTGTGCATCTGATAGTTTAGTAATGGAAATAATTATCTATAACGCCCCTTGGGGTTCGAACTTTGCAAAATCCGTTCTTAGCTGACGTCTACTCATGAAGGGAACCTACCCACCAAATTTCAAGTTTGTAGGTTTAATAGTTCCGGAGATATCGCGATTAGTCAGTGAGTTAGTGAGTCAGTGAGTCAGTGAGTCGCTTTTCTCCTTTATTTAAATATATATATACATATATATATATATATATATATATATATATATATATATATATAGGGATATATCACATTTCTCTCCAATTTTTCTAAAACACTTCATACAAAATATACAGGGATTTATTTACATGGTATTCAGATCATTTTTCATTATATATAAAAATCAAAAAGCATGATATGTAACATTGATATTAAACTCTTCAATTGTTTGTTTCTTTCAATGGAGATCCATTGTGTCTTAAAGTGGAATAGATATTCACCTATTCAATTTAAAATAAAAACAGTTGTATTTTTTTTGTTAAATAATTTTTCTGTAGGAAGAATAAATAATTTTAAGGCGACTGGGTATAATCTTTACAGTTTTTCTTATTTTCAATTTTTGAAACTTGGTTTTACTTGTATTTAATAAAGGTCATTATTAAGTAATAATTCCGTATAAAAAAAATTATATTTATTCTAAAATGTTCATAAAATTTAATTTTTTAGAGGTTTTTTTTAAAGGCATTTTTTGAGAGACATTTTTGAAATCAGACACACACAGTAATGCTTTTTAAGTATGTACATTTTCTTTCAAAATTTTTTTCGAAGAACCTTATAATATACTACATAAAATTATGTATGGATTTTTTTCATGATTCTGATGATTAATTTTATATTATTTTTTTCGTTGTGAAACATAAAAAAATTCTCATAAAAGCAATAATTTTGATATTAAAATTCTTTAAAAAAATTACTATAAACATTGTACAGCTAATTTCATACAGTTTTACAAAAAATGCATTTTAGAACATTTATAAAAAAATATCACATCTCTACTTCTCTATGTTATCAAAAAAGCCTTAGGATTTTGAATGATAGTATGTGATCCAAAATTCAACATGGAGAAATACCATTCTGAAGTTTTTATTTCATGAATGGCATGATATAATATAAATCAAATAGTCAGAAACTTTTATGAAATGTTAATTAGCTAATTTAAAGCTACTTACCATAAGAAATTGCAAAAATGTAGAACAATTAAACAGTATATTGGCATAACGAATATATAGAAGAAAACAAATGAAAGTCAATAATTCATAAAACTTTACCTTAATAATTATGAAAAAATAAATACCCTCACCTCAGAGCTAATTCCATACTCAGCGTTACAACTTAAGTAATGCCCAACAGAAACAAAAGTTGTTTTTTCTATTTTTTTTTTATTTTTCTATGATTTTAAAAGCTATCGCATGTTAAATATTGTACAAAAATGAAAGCAAAATCAAATAACAGTTTATAGGTAAAACATATGAAAATCGAAAAATTACATCTATATGCATTTGTTTATATAAATATCAGAAAAAAATTTAATAATTGTGTTAAATTTCACATACATGAGATATATATGTATATATCATTTTAAGAAAAGCATATAACCAGGAATATAATTTTTAAGTCAATTCCTACTTAGGTCAACAAACAAAAATTTTATTTTAATTACTTTTTATTAAACAGTTACAATTAATATAAATATATATACATATAACATAATCACAATATTAAGTGACAAAATAAAAAACGACTATCCTTTTAATTTTCCTATTTTTTTTTCTTTTTTTTAGTGTTGGACTATTTTTTTTTGTTACTATTTATTCATTAATTAAATTTAATTATTCTACTAAAGGAGCATAGTAAAAAAGAAACCCTATTCTCAGAAATTAGGTCATCCCATTTGGGATTCGAAGCCACGATCTTTGTATTATAAGACGAATGCGCTGTCCATTGCACTAAAGAGACCCTACAAACCACTTTTCTTTCAAGAAATGATGTTGGACTATTATTTTATTTGCTACTATTTATTTACTTTTAATTTAATTAGTGAAGTATTATTTGAAAAATGTATTAACATGAAGTGTAAATAAATAAAATATAAATTCTAATAAAAGAGTATAGTAAAAAGAAACAACGTTCTCAGAAATTAGGCCATCCTAGGTGGGATTCGAAACCACGACTTTGAGATTATAAGTTCAACACGCTATCCATTGCGTTACAGGGACTCAAAGGACGACTTTCATTTATATATATGCGGTTGTACTATTAATTTTGTTTGTTACTATTTATTCATTTTTAATTTAATTAATGAATTAATATTTGAAAAATCTGTATTAACATCAAATGTCATTCACTACAAGTTTAAAAAATGTATTTGAATTTAAATGGATGAATAGAAAGTATTTTATTAACGATTGAAAATTTGAACAAGATATATAAACACACACACATAAAAATATATATATATATATATATATATATATATATATATATATATATATATATATATATATATATAAATGTAATAATTCCCTCTAGCATCATTTTTATTAACTTTTTTAATAATATTGAAATAATATTTTAATTATTTAGTTCGAAACTAACACCCTGATCTTAATCGTAATCGACTAATATTATTACATCAGAAATCTCTGTTCCGCCCATTCTATCTAATCAGAACTACGATTACGTAATCACCATGCGCTTGCACTGTTGGTATAAAACCAAACATCTTGTGAATCCCGCACTCTTCCTCTCAGCCTTCATCATGTAAAAGTGTAAATAACTTAAACTCTGTGTCTTTGTGTTGTGTCCGTCAAGATGTCACTTCTGCTTGTCTCTTGTCCGCTCTGCTTTATAATCGTCGTAAGTTTGTCACGTCAACGTAAAAATGTACCGTAATTTTGGCCTAAGCTTTTGGTATGTGTGCGTCACAATAAAGAAGATGTATTAATGAAACTCCGCTAACAATCGACAAATATAACACTGGGCCAATATTTTACATATATATACAGGTACATATATATATATGGGACAGTTTTGCTATTTTTGACAATTAGATTTTTAATTATCAGAGTTAAATTAATTTTAGTATTTTGCTTTGAGAGAATTCGTTTTAAAGTTTTATTTTATTCATAATAAAACAGGGCGTTTTTAAATGAATAACGGAGTGTTTTAACGTTTTATAAAATTCATTACATATAACTTCAAAGTATAATTTATACATCGAATGAAAGAAAAACTGAAACAATTTTGTTTGCTGGCATGTGTGTGCATACGCGCAGAATGTGTGTTATTTCCCCCTACACTTCCCAGCTGATTAGAGCGCTAGTAGAAAAATGGCGACTGTTGGATAGGAAGTGTTTTATGTTCTCCAGTTTTCCAAGACAGAATCTGCTATTATTGTCCAACGAGCGTTTTGTATTAAGTTTGGTTGTCAACCTACAAATGGTAATAGCATTCGTAGATGATATCATTAGTTTGAAACAACTGGCTATCATTGTAAATTTGGGAATAGTGCATCCGATGGACTAATTTTGAAAGGCTTAGCGAAAAGAGTGTCTTTCACGCATAGCCCAATGAAAAATCAGTTCGACGCGCAATTCGTGAATTAGCAATGCCTGTGACGACTGTTTGGAAAGTTTTACGCAAACGCTTAGAACTACATCCTCATTGTCCACAGTTGCTAAAACTTTAAAACCGACAGACTGGTTTATCCGCCAAATTCGCAAATGGCATGCTGATGCTTGTCAGTAAAAATTTTATGGATTATGTCTTATTCAGTGATGAATCAACGTTTCTCCTCATAATGTGCACATCTGGAGCTTAGAAAACCCTCACGAGGTTCTAGAATCTCTACGAGACTCACATAAGTTGAATGTTTTCTATGCCATACCTTTGAGGAAAGTGTATGGGCCTTTCGTTTTCGGAGAAATAAATGTAACTGGTTTTGCCTATCTTGATGCTCCACAACTATGGCTATTTCCTTCATTGGAAGAAAGTAAACCAGATAACTTCATTTGGCAACATTCACGATAAAGCTTGTTTCGCATAGTCTCCACGTTCACCTGATTTGACTGCATGTGATTGATATCTGTGGGGTTTCATTAAGGATTGTGTGTACATACCTCCGCTACCAGATGTAATTCTGTATATGTTAATCTCATTTGCGAGCGGTAAAAAAATAATTAGTTCATTTTTTATCATTCGTTTTTCTAGTAGATAATGTAAAAAGTGGGCATGACAGTTTTGTTTAGTCTGCTGTCCAGAATCAAAAATTGCTCCATAATTTGGTTTGGCTTAATAAAAAATGCAGATAAAGCTTAGGAAATTTGCAGGCATGTTTATAATGATTCACGGTATCATATAAGCCAACAAATATATCGATAGTTTTAGGAATTTCGGGAGGGGGAATTACTGGAAATGAAAAGTTTATTCTTGCAGTCGGAGCATACTTTTTCTTTTACTATGCTTTAATTATGTATCGATAGTGAAATATTTCTACATTTTCAAAATCATGACTTGATCCAGAAGTAAAAGTTGAACTTGATTAAATTGATTTCCTTGATTGAAATTCAATGACTATTTTTCAAACTTAGTTGTTGTTGCTGTGTTGTTACATATGCCACCCCTGATTGATAGTAACATCAGATCAAGGCCCACGAAATTCATCGTTGTAAAAGGCTAGTTGTACGCCTGTAGTTAAGCGTAGCTTTGAGCATGATGCAGGTGACAAAACTATTTTGCTCGGTTCCACCCCAATTTTGTGATGAGAACATCCTCCCACATCTCTTCCCCTACCATCAACCTAACGAGAGGACTTGTGACTTGACGGCTAATTAGAGTAACCCCATGCCATAAAAGCACTCACTGTACATTTGCAAATACCCACGTCGAACCCAGGCTCTACAACACCGCAATCAGCGTCATTAACCACTATACCACATGGAGATCCAAAACTTAGTGAAAACTGTTGATTGAAATAAAATTTCAAAAGAACTACTTTGTTTTCTTTAAAATTTTTGTAACTCGTAAAAATGTATCTTTTTGATGTGTTCTGTATTAAACTTTTATATAACAGCAGGATGTTTCGTTCTTTACCATTCCCATAATTTTCAATTCCTACTATTAGCTCACACACTCCATATATTTATTTTTGATTATTTATCTTGGTGGAATTTTCAATCGTTAATAAAACTAATTTTAAAGCACTCCACAGAACTGAAAGTTTAAATACATGATTATTTTGGATGACACTGCAGTAATTTGGTTATAATTAATAAAAATTAATTAATTAAAACTAATTATTTACAGAATTACAAATATAGCCATATTGGCAACTTTTTTGCGACTTTTGTCAAAACTTGAAACGGTTTTTTCTCACATTTTAAAGCGCTCATTTAAACTGCAATTTTCTATACACTATTGTTTGGGTAAAAATATGATACTTTAATTGTAATAAATAAAAATTAATTACCACTTAATGCTGTGACTCTGTCCTATGTATATACATATTTATATTAATTGTAACTATTTAATAAAAGGTAGCTAAAGTAAATTTTTTTTTGTTCTAAGTAGGAAATGACTTAGTTTTTATATATATTACTCTCTTGTATATTATAAAAATATTTATGTATGTATTTTCGTTTTATACATACAATTCCCACCGTATATAGAAACATTTTGAGCATGGTTCCTTCGATATTAAACAGGGAAGTTTAAATCGAATTGTGAAAAGCATTTTGGAAACATTTGATATCAAACTAAATTTTCCACAAATTATATTTCTCGAATGTCATTATAATTAAAAGGGTACATTTTTCAGCAAAAAAATCAACATATGGTGATCTCTAACAACTGATTACCTTATACATTAAGTTTAAAATTGTATTTAAGGAGAACAAACAATTTAAAGCAGTGCTTCTCGAAATTTCAATATTTGCGACCCAATTTTCAATCAAAATTGTCCTCGCGCCCCCCACCATACAATAGCAATGTATTTAATTCAATAATACACTTTGACACTATAGTTAAAATACAACTTTAACCTCTTAATTGGCATCGGCGTCTATAAACATCTCGCTCAGCCAAAGCGTTTATTGCCCCGGACGTATATGTACGTCTTTCCGAAGTATTGCTAGCCACAAAATTATTCCGAAGGGTTTGGAATTCAATAAATCCACCTGGACAGTGTTTGTGAAGGATTTAGTTATTTCGGAGGATTTGCTTATTTATTTTCATTTTCTCCACTCCCCCCACAATACATCACATGCGAGCGCATACGTGAAAAATGGGAAGAGTGGTTCGCGTAACTTAAATTCAGCAGTTAAGAGAATAATTATAATTCGTGAAAATTATCAATATAAGGGTTAATTTTTGTGTATAATTTTACATATGACAAGCCCATGGGGTCATTGGGAATTATGAATGTTGTTCTTAATTTAGTATTGTTTAATTACCTATGAAATACATTGTGCCGTACTGATACATTTCTAAGTGTATTATATCAGTGTACATGAGCTTTTTATTTTTTATTGTGCCAGGATGTATTTTGTTTGCTTACTTTCAGTAAATTAATAATTTTTTAAACCATTTTTTTGTTTTCGACTTTTTAATATGCTGGTACCCCCTTCGTAGAGTGATCATGCCCCTCTGGAAGGGGGAAGCGCACCACAGTTTGAAAAACGCTGGTCTACTGACAGTGGGGATCACAAGTGTTTATTTTAACTTATAGTAACTACACTCGAGACTAAAAAAAAGCATTTCACATTCGGCTCTCTATCTACCAAAAAACTCCAATTCCCACTGTTCGGTTTTGCATAGCTGACATCGGACATCGTATGGACGAAAAGAATATCCTTTGGAACCCCTCTCCTGGTTGGGGAGAAAGTTACTATCGAAAGATGCGTAAACATATCAAATTTCAAGATTTAATAAGTACTTCCACTTCGAACCTTTCAAGTTTCAACAGAAAAGAAAACTAGCATTAAACATACAGATTATAAATTAAGGATATACAGGTAAAATACGCTAAATAAAATACCAAATTTCAACCCAATAATATTCCAGAAAATATGTAAAATTTGTAACTTACAAACACTTATATATATATATATATATATATATATATATATATATATATATATATATATATATATATATATATATATATATGTCATGATTTTGGAGACAGAATCAGATTAAAAGTTAGAAAAATGGGCTTTAT